GTTTGTGATATTAAAGATATTAAAAGTCATTAAAATGTATAAAAGAGGTATCAGAGAAAAGGATATTAAAAAGTTTTATTTAATTCAGTTCAATTATTCGAATTTAATCATTTTTTAAAAAATATATATATTTTAACTAAACCAATCAAATTCACTATTTATTCATCTCTAATTAGAAATAGATTGGTTCTAATCAATTGTATTTGAAACTATATATAGGTAAGTTATGCTCCAATATGAATTATGCCTAGACCAAGCTCAAGATCGTTTCTAGGCTAACTTAGATCTTGTTCGAGTTTAGACATTAAACCGTCTTCAATATAATATGATATGTTTGTTAGACCCAATTTAAGATTATGACGGTCATGTTCTTAAGTTCAATAGTAGGTTATGTCTCGTTAGAACGTTGAATTTTTTTTAAATCTAAAATCTTACCAATGTGTAAGTGACGTCTAATACTAAAACATTCTATATAGTTCAAGATTGTACCCTCAGGATATCAAACCTATGAGTGCATATGAGGAGGGATTGTGTTCAAGTATGAGATCGTACTATTAGATGAAGTAATCTTATTTAAACTTAAATTTATGTCTTTAGTTAAATTTGAGTTGTATTTAAAAATTTTTAATATTTAAAATAATTGAATATATGTAACTGAATAGTTTTAATTGTCATAATGACACAAGTGATATATTTATTTTTAAATGTTAATAATGACATAACTGACAATAAAAATAAGTGCAAACTATAATTTTGTTGTTTTAATTATAACTTACTATATATCTTTTTGTAATTATATATTAGGATTATATGTGGTTTGACTTTTCATCACTATATATATATTAAGGATAAATTGTACTTTGTTTTAAAATTAATACATATATTTCGTAGATTCTACGATGGAATAAATGTTATGAAAAAAAATAAAAAATAAAAAGTAGTAATGTATTTCGGACATGCTATCTTTTTTTTTAAATCTATGCATATTATTAGATTATAAGTATCAAATCATATACATTTAATAAAACAAAAGTCAACCCAAATGTTCATAACAAAGAGAAGAATCATTAAAGAAAGTTAACCGAGTATTAAAATACAATCTCTTAAGGAGACACATATTAAGGAAATTTAAAAATTAAAATTAGAGAAACCAGTGGAATAAAAAGAAGAAATAAATAAATATTCAAGTGTTGTACAGATTCGATTCTTCACATGTCCACCAGATTTTAACTTTCATTAACATTTTCAACTCTCTACCTGCTATTCCTCTTCACATTTCTCCAACCAAAATATTACACTTTTACTTGCACACACACACACACGTATACCTCATGAGGATATATATATATATATATATCCTCATGAGGTATATTATTCAGTAATATTGCAGAAAAGACAAACCAAGAAATTTAAAATAAAGAATTCCCATTTCAAAAAGCATAGATTCTTATTACAAATATATGAGAGAATCAAAAGATTCTTATACCATAAAAATCAAATAAAACAAAGAAATTCATATTAAGAATAGATTCTCACAAGCAAAAGGATTATAAAAACAAATAAAACTCCCATTTCATAACAGTCAATTTGAGTGCATGTAAGTCAATTAATAATAATCAGTAGTTATATATACGATGAATATATGTCCAACAAACAAATTAATGTGAACTTGAAACCCACATGAAAACATAAACTAATTTCCTTTCGACCTTGTAGTGTGAAATTCATTGTGTTTTACCCGCTAGAAAGTTTTATTTCAGAAAATTCAGAATCAGTCTCTAGAATCATCTGCTGCTTCTGTAAATGTGTGTGTGAGAGAGAGAGAGAGAGAGCGTTTCATCTTTGAGAGAAGATGAAGGTAAAGGACATGGTCAAAGCTGGTAGGTCAATGGCATCTTCTGCTATGTTAGTTAGCATCTTTGACAGGTGGGTTAATTTGATTCCATGCAAACTACTTCAGAACTCAGCTTTCTAGGGAAAATCGGAGATAGAAAGAAAAAAAGATTAGATTACCTCTACCATGAAAATGAACCATCTGCGTCCGGGAGAAAGAAGTGTTCGGTTGACGGGAATGAAGCCTGGTCCGAGATCAACTAGAGGTATGTAGATGCAGAAATTTTCCGGGAAAGTAAAAAGGCCCCTAAGAAAATTTCAGAGGCTATCACAGATGACCTCGAGCCAAACAACATTCCCATTAACCTCCACCTCTCAGAAACAACTGATCGTCGGCCGGCCATGAACCCGTAACAAACCCTAAAACGGATGAAAACCCATATACGATATAACCCAAAAAAAATTACCCAGAAGAGATTTGAGGTATCTGGTGATTGAAAATACAGAAAACGCAGCTCTTGCTTTTGGACCTGAAAAATGAGAAACCCTAGACGTTTACTCCTTGAATATATAGAGGAAGAAAGAGTTGTTCAACATATTGTTCCGTGAACTGTTACACATCTCACCTTCACGCTCTTCAAGGAAGGTGTTTTTGACGCGCAACTCCAACCACCAAAGAATCTCATTATTTATTAACCAATATATATTTTTTGAGAATACCAATATATATATATATATATATTCAGTAACAGCTCATTATGTTTTTGGCTTGGACGATAAAAACATCTGTACATATATATGTATATTAGGTCTTTAAAATATATATAATTATACATTATTTTTTAAAAATAAAAAATAAAAAATTTATTCAAAATCAATAAAATATTTAATACAAATTATTTATTCGAGGTAATTAAGTGTGAGCGTGGGGTGACGCGCTGGTGGGGAAAACGACAAAGAAAAGAGATCCCTAAAAGGCCGAAGGCGGGTAAAAATGTAAAAGTTTTGCCACATCAAAAGAAACGTGTTCTATTCTTCATTTACCAGCTAGCCGTTTTATCACCTCCTGCTTCCGGTCACTTTGCCACGTGTCTCTTTCTCCTCTCTCCAATTTCCCGCCATTTGACCTGATACCGCCGGTTTCATTGAAAAAACATTCTTTTTCACAATTTGACCTGAAACCATATCATTTGTAACTTCAAAAGTTTCTGTGCTTCTTTCTTTTAAATTATTATTATTATTATTTAATTTTTTATATAATGATTTTGTAATCATCATTTTTTTTATTTAATTTTGTGAAACGGTTGCATTAATTGATAATTGCGAATTACAAGGTAGAAATTAATGGCATTGAATATCACATTTCATTATCATGAGTTACTTTTAATTATTTCTAACTTTTTCCCCAACTCCATTTAATTTCTCCATCTCCCTCAGAGTTGTCAAATTATATATTTTTTTTTAATTTTCAAATACAGATATAAAATCTTATATATTTATATTACATAAAGTCTTGAAAATTTTATTATAATAAACTAAAATATGTTATTTTCTTAATAAATAAAAGAAGTTTTTGTAATATGGGGGGGGCGTGAAATACGAAGGGAAATAAATACATGAAAGCCCCCACTCAACTGTTCAACAATACAAGAAACCATATCAGCAAGTCAACAAGTACCACGTGGGTGACCTGATATGATGACAGACATAACTACGTGGAAGCACCAGATTGGCAGTGTAGACAAGTGGGGTCCACGGCATGCAATGATGCGTTAATGATGGAAGCGGGCGGGTTTACCGGGACGGCGATTGATGTGTCTGTCAGTGTCACGAGAACCGTGCGTGTGTTTTATATTTCCCCGTTTGAATTTCATTTTCCTTTTTATTTTCTGGCCACACAAAAATAAATAAATAAAATGTCTCCTCATGTTATTAATAAAATAAAATAAAATATTTTATAACATTCTGCTATATATTGTAAAAAGATAGGAATTGTTAAATTTATGTAAAATTCTGAATGAAAATAAATGAAATTTGATACCAGGAGACAACCTCCGGGCCTAGTCCAAACCTAGTGGGAGGGGTCATCCCCAATGAAAAACCCTAAAAGACATTTCAAGCATTACAAATATATATATATATACCAAACTGATAGAGGTGACGTAAATCTGTAATTTGGAAATTTCCATCTACTTGTTTTACATTTTTTTTTTTACATCGGGTGGAATGCCTTTGACTAAGGAGGCTTTACATGCATCCAATGTTATGCTTTCTTGGTTCACCTACTACTGCAGAAAGACTTGTGATTGATTTCATGGAATGTAATGTCTTTTCCCAATACTTTGTCACCTTTTGAAGGATACCCAAATTACACGTCCTACATGGATTGAGTTTTTATTTTAGGTTCTTCTCTGGTATGGGTTGGATTGATGGGCAATAAGATATGAATTTGTTAACATGGGTTTTGATCCCAGCTAAAGAGATCAAATCAATTTGGGGGTTAAAGAAATTATTTGATTCGTACAGATAGGGAGTGATAAGAAATCAAATTAGAAAGAATCAAAGTAAAAACAAATCCCTCAGGCTAATCAATAAGTAAAACGAGAGATTATACTAGAATTTCTGGAAAGTAAAATTTAAATTAACTTACCCATTAATCAATAGAATATTTCCCTATACCTTGTAAGGATTTGTTTTTATATGTTATGTCACGAAACGACTTGGTCACCGACTTACTGTTTATCCAATTATCCATAAACAACCAATTTCAGGCTTCAATTCTCCTGTCAATGGCATAATATGATCAGAAAAATAAAATAAAATAAAATAAAAGCTGCAGTTCCAACGGTCAGAGTCTTTTCACTTCCATACGTACAAAAAAAAAAAAAAAAAAAAAAAAAAAAAAAAAAGTAAAAAAGAAGATTCATCAGGTGAGAACCAAAAACCGTATTAATCAACATATAATTACAAATGCAAGCATGGGAATAATTCTTCTTGTTTTCTTATAAGAAATCCAACTATTTCCAGGCATACTCATTTAGATCCTATTGCAAAGGATAACTTTGGCCTGGATTTGTTCTTACCTAACAGCTTCATCTGTTTTACACGCTCTTCCTCCTCTTCTTGCTTCTTCCTTCTCAGAGCCTCTTCTTTTTGCTTTTGAAGCTCTTCTAGTTCCCGGTATCTCTCCTCCTCCTTTCTCTCCCGCTCCAATGCTTCCTTCCTCTGAGCTTCCTCTACCCTCTTCCGGTTCTCTTCAAGCATTTTTTCCAACTCTTCTTTCTCTCTTCGATCTAATTCCTGCAAACCAGTAGTTAAGATAAGACCTTTAAACAAACAAAACCAAAGTAATTTGTAGGCGTAAATGAATAACAGTCAGACGCCTTCTTCATTTTGTTATCGAGCTTCGAAACCTCAAAACCACCAACTATATTAAAACCCCATACTTGCCAACCCAAAACTGCTGCATGTTCAAGCTAGAGTTCTTTTTTGGGTGAATGGAGGCGAGAAGAAACCAACATAGCATTCTTAAGAAAGGCACCTTATTATGTCATCAAAAAATCCATCTCTCTAACTTCCAAAAGACATAGTACAAGATTTTATTTATCTTCATTTAAGAAATGGAAAAGAATTGAAGTAGCACAATCAGAAAATGCTAAAGAAGTAAATGTGAAATGATAAACAAAAACGAAAAGAGCCAAATATTAAAATTGATCTGGTACATGAAAGCATTTCTTACTTTTATTTCCCAAATTCATGTATGCTTTTGCATGAAAAAAAATTATGTTGATTCTAGTTCAAACTCTATTTCCACATTATTCTTAAATTTTAACTATGTTGAATTTAATCATAGTTTATCAATTTAATTAAATTGAATCAACTGAACTCATATCTCCTATTCCATATATCCGTTAGCAAAAAAGAAAATGAGGATGGAGTTTAGAAAAACTAAAGAGATTTTTGTTATTTACCAAAAAAAATTATGTTTATTTATATTGATTACTCCACAAGCACACTACTGTACATTTTTATGAACAAAGATGTATAAACACAAAAATGTTAGAAAACATTTTCATATACTATGCGGATATCTTCCTCAAGCAACCTAAGGAATGCAAACCCACTATGTACAAACATCAGTGCACCTATAAATAACAGGGTTAAAAAGTAGAATGAACTTTGCAGCATATTGTTTACCTCCTTTCGCTTAGCCTCAATAACAGCAGCTTCTTTTTCCTTCTCAAGTTGAAGTTCAACTTCATGATGAAGTTTCCTTCTTCCCTCCTCCAATCGCCTTTGTATTTCTAGTTCAATCTCTTCAGATTTTAAACTCTCTTCAACTCTCCTTCGAATAGCTTCTTCCACTCTCTTTGCAGTCTCTTCTTCTATCAGTTTAAGTTCTGCTTCCTGCTGACGCCTGGGAGTGGAAGGCCAAAAGTTAGCCAAGAAATTTGCCACTTAAAGAATGTTCAAAGCACACACTTTTGATCCCAGATATCTTTGAAGTCAGGCAGTAGTGCAATCAAAAAGAAGTTTTAACAAGTTATTCCAATTTTTTTCTTTGTTTCTTTCGCTTGCCTCTCTACTCTTCATGTAACCATAGTAAATGGCAGACTAACCTTCACGACGACCAAGGCACTAAATACAGGCTTATGCTTTTAAGGCATACCTCTAACTGAATCCTGATCCAAACATACGAGTTTCAAAACTGGTGAACAGAAGATAAACCAGGCACCAATCAGTGATCAAACATAATAAGTTGGACTATAGCAGTATCTTCCTTCAGAAAATCCTGTGGAAAAGAATGTCAAGTAACCTGCTGCAGTTTTAAAACTAATTATCAAAAAACTTTAATCCTTACACTAAAACTACCTTTTAGAAGAAAATATTTATATGGTTCAAAACATATTTACATGTCTTTTGTGTGGATAATTAAAGTCACCAAAGTAGTGACAGAAAAGCCAGTGATCCCAAGGTGGGAAATTCTTGCTGAAAGCAAAGGGTCCTGGGGCAATAACATATAGCAACTTGGTTTAATTGACTTTATGTGGTTGAACTCAAACCCAAAAAGCTCAAACAAA